GATCCATCGTGACGATTCAGGCCACACTGAGTCAACTCACTATTCAATCGCAGCCAGCCGTCCAAGCAGCGCCGCCTGCATCATCTCCTACTACAGGGAATGCAGCGCCGACCGGTGGAGTTGCCAGCAGCCCAGTGGCAGCAGGCTCCGCAGCAGCTCAGCGTCCCACATCGCACATCGGCAAGGGCGGCGTCATCAAGACGCAGGGCAAGGTGAACGCGGCGAGGACACGCTTGGAGCAGGCCGCCAAAGCCCCTGGGCAGACGCGGCTATCACTGGGCCGTTCTTCGAAGGACGACGACAGCCTCGAGCCGCCGCGCAAGAGCATCTGCCTGCCGCACGAGGATGGCGAGGAGGAGGCGCACTCGGACGCCATGATCGAGGACGAGGACGTGGAGCAGGATGGAGCTGCAGGGGATCGTGCAGCAGTTTTTCACTAACCCGAGCAGCCAGAGCAGAGAGCTGGCTGCCACCAGGTCGGGTGGATATGAACGACAGTCAGCCTATTCATCAGGAGCAAGGCCCTCTTGAAGGGCCTTCTGGTTGTTCGGGTTTACCTCAATCATCACAGCCCAGTACCGTTGAAGTACGTGGGTGCAAGACAAGTCCACTTATGGACACGTCCATCGTCTTTCGGGAACTTTTCAGATCTTGGGACAGGCCTATCAATCCCAACTACTGGGTGTTGGCCAAGTACTGGCACTCCACCACCATCGGGGCCCTTCCTAGGCTCGCTCATATTTCAGATGTCATCCCATCTATTATCCACATTTATACGGATGGATCTGGTGGTTCGTCTAGGGGCAGGCCTGCTTGGGCCTTTGTGGTCTTCGTCGAGGACTCTCTTGGGCACATGGCGCTCCTCGGTTTCGAGGGCGACGTCTTGGGCATCGAGATCCCCCCACATCTTACCTCATTGGCTGCCGAATTATTTGGTGCTCAATGGGCCTTGGCTTGGTTCCTGCAGTCCTCGTACGCTAGCCTATGTCATGAATGTGAAGTTCAGGTTCACTGTGATAACTTAGAGGCTCTCCGAGTTGCCAGAGGAGGCGCGCTCAGTGCTTCACTACATTCGGCACGCATCGAGCTTGACAGCATTGCGAAAGTGGTTCAGTATTTCGCACGCAGTGTCTCTTGGTTGCACGTACCAGGCCACTCTGGCCAGCCCTGGAACGAGATGGCGGACACAGTCGCCACGCTCGCTTCACTAGGCAAAGGTGATCTCCCGACGCCTGACGCATCCTGGAGGAGGTGCTTACAATCGCCCCAGGCACTACAATGGCTGTGGCTCAGGTTCGAGCCGCAGAGCGTGCAGATGCAGTACCCACCCAGCGCAGGAGCAGCGATGCCTAGCTTCCTCGAGACGGAGTCCGAGAAAGCATCAGCTCTCACCTCTCTCCTGCGCTTAGACACGAGACAGCCAGTTGCTTGCGACCAGTTTACAGCAGGAGCTCCCTCCTGCCAGCTGTGGGTTGCAGCTGCCAACGTCTTGTCCCTCAGCCCAGGCACGCTTTCCGCATCATCGGCCAAGCCCTCGGGACTCTTTCTCTCGGGACGCATGAAACAGTTGAGTGCCGCATTTAGCAGACATCAATTTTTCCTGATCGGGACTGTCGAGACTAGGTTTCCTCGCTCTGGGGTTTCCACAGTGGCACCATACCATATTATACACTCAGAGGCTGATGAATCTCGTCGGTTTGGCTGTTCTCTATGGATCAATACCTTTATCGAAGTACTTCCCGGTGTATCTTTGCAGGCCAAGCATTGCTGGACTCTTGCGGCGACCCCTACTTACCTACTCGTCGCCCTTCGAGTCGGCTCGTTCGCCCTGGACGTCCTCGTCGCTCACGCGCCTCACAGCAAGAAGCCTGAACATATCATCGAGGACTGGTGGAGGACGGTTTCGCTCGTCATCGCTTCTCATCGCTCGCCAGGGGTTGAACTGGTTTGTTTGTTGGATGCCAACGCTCGTGTCGGTTCGATTGTTTCCAGATACGTGGGTCCTATTGCGGCTGAGACCCAGAACCTACCAGGACAGTATTTTCACAGCTTTTTGGAGGAGAATGAGCTATGGGTCCCTTCGACCTTCCTGGAGTCTGGTCAAACATCGGCTGCGACGTGGTTTCCCCCTGGTTCCCACGGGCTATCTGCGGGTTGCCGTATCGACTACGTCACGTGCTCGTTTGGGATTTCGGTCGCTAAGCAGTTTGTCGTGTCGGACGTGGACCTCACCATATCTATACTAGATCATCTTTTGGTTGCCGCAAGTATTACGGTTCCAGTTGCTTCCGTCGCGCTTCCCACGGCCAACTCGCACAAAATCAAGTGCGACCAGGCTCGCTTTGCGGACGTGGAGGCACAGCAGCTTTTTTCTCTGCTTCTGCAAGAGTGTCCTGCTGTACCGTTCGAAGCCTCGCCTTCTTCTCACTGCCAGGTGCTAACAGATCATCTTCAGAAATGTTTGGAAACAGCTTTCCCTACGCGTACTACCACCTCGGGCAGACGGCCTCGCCAACCCTGGATTTCCCAGAAGACTTTGGAACTGATGGATGCACGTACTTCCCAGCTCCGAAGCTATAGGCAGGTAGGCTTTGCTTGCAGGCAGCTACAGCTAGCTCTCCTATTCCATGTTTGGGCTGAACCCATTCGAGGTCCATGGGCTTGTCTACGCACCAGGCAGTGGAAGTTGTCAGCTCGAACACCAGGAGTATTTGGCACCAGATGGGGCTCACGTGCGAGCCAGCTTTCTTCCCTCTTCAGGCCTACTCTCCTCGAGCTCTTCTTCTACATTGACTGCCTGCGGGACATGTTAGGCGAAAGGATCTCCAATGTGAGGTTCGCAGTGGAATCGAATAAGTACCTCGTTTACTTCAGGCTTTGGGAACGTACTGGTGGGGCTGTCTTGGATCGGCTTTCCAGCCCCGCTACTCTGGAGGACTTGCGTTGGGTTCTTCCTGGTACTTCGGCCCTGTCGGGCTATGCATCATGCTGGAATTACGTCGTTCGTTTGTCTGGCCTTGGGCTGGCCTCTCGTGCTATTGCGCTCGAAATTATGACAAGATATGTGACACACTTCGTAGACCAGGATGCAAAGGCCCATGCAAAACATCTTGCCCAGGAAGTTTCTTCAGCCTGGTCCCGTCAGGACTTCAAAGAGTCATATGCCAAGCTTCGGGCCATGGGAGCCTGTTCGCGTCGCAAAAAATCAGCTCGGCCTATGCCGATGCTCCTGGGACTCGAGGGCAAGCCGCTTCGTTCGAACATCGAGGTTGCGGATAGGTGGCTTCAGCATTTCAGTGGAGAGGAGGCGGCGCCAGTTATCCCTTTTTCCGACATATCATGGTTCATGAATTCCCTCCCCGCCCTCACCTCTGACGTTACGCATAACGTGGACATTAACATAGAGGACGTCCCGTCCCTCGGTATCACCCA